ACGTATCGTGGCCCTGGCTATCTCCCTCAGAACGTGGTGAGTTGGCATTGCAATGTGAGGTCTGGCGTACATTCGGAGAAAGGAGAATCTGAGACGTTTCTGACGATTCCCTCGCAACCCCGAAGCCAGCCTAGAGGGCTATTTGACTTTAGCAATGCTTGTCTTCATACATTGAAGTGGTTCCCAAACCAGGCCACCTAGCGAATCCAACAAAACGAGAGCGATATTCTCAGAAAACGGAGTTCGGGCTTTGGTTGAGCTGGTGCTTCCTGGCTGCGAGGCAGCCATCAGACGTGCCGCATGTTGTTGTCGCAGTGGACTCATGACTCATTTCCACTGGTGACCGATTAGGGAAGGCTCTGCTTTTGCCGTCCAGAATGGATTTTCCCCAGATGGTCAGGCGTGCTTCCCGCTCATGGTCGGCCGGACCATAAGGTTTCCATCAAAACTTCATTCTGCAGCAGTCCTTGCCATACTGATGGCGTGTGCTGGTGCATCGGCTGCGCTCAGGTATCTGCTACAATACCCTGGTAGCAACGTGCGGAGGCACTCCCAATTTAGGGTGCAAGGGGCGCTCATCAAAAATGACCGCAGGCCCAGTATGAGGTTGAAGTTCATAGCTCGTTTCGTCTTTGCCGTTGCGATTGGACCACTAGCTCAGTACCCTATCAGTAGCAGAGACTGGGTCAAACACAGCGCTGGTCTTCTCTGTTGTCCTCCTTGCTACAGAGTTCATTTGAGGATCGTAAAGCATAATCATTCATTATAGTCACTGACCTATTTTTATTCCTAGTTGATTAACCCGTTACGGGCTTGCGCTTCCGAAACCATGCTGTTAAGGCTCTTGAAGCATACTTCAACATACTAACGTATTTCGCAATGAAACGGTCTTAGACGGAAGAAATTTGAAATTGAATAGAAATGAGACAGGAATTATGAGACAACCCAATAGTAGACTGGACTTGTCGAGGTAGGCAAAACCAAATTAAAGGAAGAGATTACGATAGAGGGAGCGCATTGGGAAGCATATGAACCAGTTACTTGGCTGCCAAGGAAGCGAGGTGTGGCGCTTTCACGACGAAAGGTGCGCTGGTTGCTGAGCAGGACTTCGAAAGCACTCCGCCCCCAAAAGCGATCCCACTAGTTTAGTTGGTGATTTGGACGAGCTGCGTTGCCAGCAGCGGCACAACTGGAGCAACTCGATTGGAGCGTGGTTTGGCATGGTGCCACCAAACGCGTTGCTGAACTCGTTCATACGTCCGCTTTCTGAGCTGTTACCTGTTCATGAGTGAAAACCAACGGCCAAAAAAGGGGTCCCGTTTTGCGTTTTCTTGACGGATTTCTCCGCTTTTTTCGCCACTGGCGTACCATTGAGCACCACCACGTCTCTCTGAACCCTTCTCGAAACTATCGTAATCGCTGCCTTTAATTTAATCCGCAGCATTCCATTTCGATGATCCATGTGCGCACTCGCTAGTGTTTGAGCCAAACTGGTAATATCATAGCACTGATATTCGCCTCATCGTATGCTATATATGGAGGGAGAGGTGTTCTAAGATCTCACCACTTTCGGAACCATTTCTTCGAAGAGTGAATATACCCCCCCCCCTCCGCCACCCGGAAAAGCACTAAGACAATTGGAGAGGAGGCCAGTCAGCCACAATAGATTTACGAGTGTGCAAAGCCGTTCGTCAGTGAGAGTAATGGCCTTGTTTTGGCTGGACACATTTGAAGGTGCGGTGAATAAATTTGTAACAAAGGCATGAGTGATTCATACCCGGAAAGACCTTTCGCCTGTATGTGTCAGCATGTGCCGGTTGAGCTTCGTTCGCTCTACGAAAGATTTTCCGCAGCGCTCGCAAGAGATGTTTCGCACTGCGTGGACTTTCGCGTGCTTCCGTAGAGCGGTGCGTGTCTTCAAAATTGACGTGCATCCCTGCAAAAACAATGTGCGATCATGACAGCTCATAGAATTGGCTCTTCTGGCTGCACTCACGAGGTTTACAAAAAAACTGTAACGCACCTCAATCAAACATGGATAACCTTTTGACTCGGTGTTTCTGCTAGATTGCAATTTCTTGAGCCTTGTAAGAAAACAGAATTAGACAATTCTATAGAAGGTCGAAGCAGAATACAATGGCAATCACCTTGTATTTTTAGGACAGATCTTCACAGGAATATTGAATCGACGAACTTCGATTCCATACCTCCCTTCGTTATCCATGCCCTTAAATTAATTTCAATTGAAGGACCCTTAGATATATCAGCTATAAGGGTCTAGAAGATTCAAATGGGCCTGCATTATTCGAGTTGACTTGCATTCTCAAGGGAATTTTGCTCGAGAAGAGAAAAAAGGAACCCCCATCTTCCACCCCTTCTCTGAAAAATTACATCACTCTCCATCCTAACCTTACATTCGCAAAACTAACAAATAAGATAAGAAAAAATCAGAGATTTGTTCTGCAAGTGGCCAATCTGAGCCTCTTCTCCAAATACAGAAGGCAAAACGCAGCAGACGCTAACGCTGGAAAGACTGATTCCAATTTTACTTCTTAGACTCACGAATAAGAGTCTACTAACCAATACTGAAGAGGGGTCAATAAGCCAGGACCTACACGTTTACGGCGACGAGATGTTTTGCGTTTAGGTCGCATAGGACGAGCGAGATTTTGCGAGTGTAGCTTCGACATCTTCCATCCGTGGATTTTAGGTTTAAAAACGGCAAAACATAAATTTGACGGAACAATTTCACAAGTTTTCAATGCATAAAGACACAATACCAGATTACCGACTAAATTTACATGCAATGGCAATAAAAAGGTAAGATTCATTAATCTTCGCTGCAATAGGCATCATAATCCTTTCTGCCCTGATTGTTCTTGTATAATCACGTATCCGACCGTCCACAAAGGCTTGTATTTACTTCTGCTACACGTAGAATCTACATGACCTTAGAAAAAAGAGAACAAAGTGTAAACTAAATCAAAAGTTTCACATGGTTCAGAAAACTTTTCAAAACCAGCATATGAGCTTTTCTTGGACTATATTGCTTGTAGCTAACCACTGGCTCTGGTAATTCTTTGATATCAGAGATATTCGAATAACTCATGGTATGATCGAATAGCATGTGGACATTAACTGCCATTCCATATGGGCTGTCGCCGGCGTGCATGTGCTATAACGCTATCAAACGATATTAACCAAAAAACGTACTAACCTTTTCTGCAACTTCACCATTTTCTGTCTCCAATGGCGGACTATGACTTCGCATTGATCCAGCGTCAATATCAGGCTCAATCTCTATCGAACTG